ATTCTCCTTCACATTAAATATAAATCTTTATCCCTACTTTCTACCAGACTGACCCTATCCAAACCTCAAGCCCTCTTCCTCAAGGATGACCTAGAGTTGGTCCTAATGTATAGTAATCTCTCCTCCTCTAAGCTGCACTTGCTATTTCTATAAAATTTTGTATTTTATTATGTATTATGTATAGCACTATGCAATATATATTTTGTGTTTGCATATAACGACTACTATTTGCTCATCTATTCATGTATGTGTCTGGCTTATCTGTCTATAGCATTCTCTGAAAGCTCACAGAATTAATGCCTCATGTATTATATCAATTTAGTACAGTGCTTGGCACAGAGCTAGTTTCAAATAGGCCCTTACCAATTGACTGACTAATCAATTAGCAAAATGGAAAATCCAGCCAGTATGCTCAAGCTTTGTCTATTGGAAATTACTTTCCTAAAAAGCATGTTTCCTTCCTTTACAGATCAATTGCAAAGTCAAAATTCAAACACTGCAGATTTCACAAACAGGAATAGCTGGGAAGTATCGGGCTTTACAAATAATGAATGTGCACATCAAAACCAAAGTTGCAGATGTTTGTAAAAGTATATACATGCAGCTCATGCAACTTATATGAGCAGAGATGGCTAAAAACCCTCACATCCCAGCCTAGGTAACGAGTATAAGCTGAACCGGAGAGAGTCCAGGTTGACCCTGATCAAATCCAGCATAATGGCATGGTTTCCAAATCACCAGAATATTTCTAGAGTATAGTCTAGTTTTGCCAGTTGCAAAGGAACTACATATTTATTTTGGCGAAGCTCTCTTGTTTGCTGAACCTTCGGACCTTTACAGCATCTATAAATGAAGGCTACCAAGCCTGTTTCATTCTGGGATAAACCCACACATTATCTATCTATCGTTGATTGTGCAGAAAGGAATGGAAATAAAAGCAATCTTTCTACCTTACTTATTCTAATCCAGCTTTCTTTACAGAAGGCCAATACTGAAAATAAGTATGGCTTGTCTATGCTAATTAATTATATTTATAAGTCTCTTACAGGTTTGATTAGACCTTTTAAGAATTAAGATCAAAAGGGTAAATGTTCACAATGCATATAACACAAGGCAGAAGACTTCGATTCTTTATAATATAAAATATTTATCTGGCACATAGCATTATTTTTCTAGAATAATTATGTTTACTCTAATTTGGGGCTTACTATCTTCCAGAGACTGTTCTAAGCACTTTAGATGTCAAGTCTTCAGAAGGGTCCCATGTTGTAGGTAAAATTGTCATCTCCATTCTATATATGGTAAACTGAGATACAGAGAGTTTAAGTAAGTTTGGCAAGTGGGGAGTTCAGAGGTATAAAGATCACTCTGCATTAGTTCCTGGAGCCAGGAAGAAGCCCATCTAGTATTTGAGCTGGAATAGTCTGGCTCCAGAATTATGTTCTTAAGCACTACACATACAACCTCTAAACAATTTGTAGGCTCTAATTGTGAGGTATGTGTAATGGTGAAAAGGCATATGTTTCACATTCACATATGCCTGGTTTAAATATTAACTCTGCAATTTACTAGCTGTGTGGCCTTGAACAAATTATTGAACATCTCTGAACATGGTGTTTCCCAACCCCATTGTGAGAATATTACAAATCTGTTGTATTTGCAATGGCCTGTATAATCCCTGAGCGTAGTGTATCGCATGTGATAAGTAGTCAATAATTTACCAATATTATTATTCAAAAGTAGCCCCAAATTAAATATCTTATAATATCTACATAATCCTCTATTAGTTCATGGTAAATTATTGAATGCTTTTCAAATGGAGGTACATTTGGCCATAGTTCTCTAGGAAAAGACAGCATTATTATTAGCTATATATATCCTAATGAATATCATTTCAACATTAACAGAACTCTTATCAGAATTATTACAAAATTCTGATACTTAACCTGTCAACCAAGGGCATTAAATCCAAGAGCTAACTTTACTCCATTTCATATTACTAATAAATTCACTTCATAGCAGCTAAGTGAAAAACAACCTAACTCCCTGACCGTCTAGTTGTATCATCAGTAAAATGCATGACCACATTGAACAAAATTTTATTGGATTGAAAGTTATGCATGTTTTTTTCTAAATCAGCAATAAATATTGACCTTACCTATTCTTTCAATAGATCAATAGCAATGTTTCAATTTCTTGTTTGTTTTTCCCTTTTGTAACAACGTCACATCTAATGCAGACCAATTTCCAAAGCTGAACCCCAGGAAGTGAATAATCTATCAAATACAACTATCTAAAAGAGAAGACAGTTCTTTAAGTGGGAATAATACCTGGCTTTATGTAGTAAGTATGACCAAGCAGGGCAGAAGAAAATACTCAGCACTGAGGATTAAAGAATGAGATATCCACTGGCCATTGCTTGCACATCTATAGCCCATCCCCAGGCTACAATGATGCTTCCATAAAGGACGCGCCCCCACCCCCAGTGACCCAAATCAGGATCCTTACTCTAAATTTCAAAGCTCCACTCACCACAGCCAATGATCTTAGTTTCTCTAGCTTCTAGGAACCCTTCCTCAAATAGCACAGCCATATTCATGACTATGCCAAAATAGGCCCCAAGCTTATTCTGAGGCAATGGGGTAAGGACAATTCCTCAGATATTTGGCATAACGCAGGCAGAGATAGGGATTTAAACCTTTGTTCTCTTCCCTTTCAGCAGAGGACTGCTAGAAGCCTCCATATCCTTCTCTTGTTTAGAGGACCATGTGATTTTACAAGCATCGTCATGTGTTTAGATAGTCTGATCCAGAGCTGTTTCCGTGTACCCTTTGGTAAAGGGAACTAAATTAAGCAGAATTACTGCATCTCAGATTTTCAAACAAGTACTAGAAACTAAAATGGAACCTTTGACAGCCTCCCACACTATGGTGAAAGAGACCCGTTATGTATTGCTAGATACACAGGGGACATGACTGAGAGAAGTGTGGGAATCACAAAGGGTCTCAAATTTAAACTTTTGATTCTCTGATCAAAAGAGCTTACGTACAGTCTCAGGGATACAATGGCAGGATTGAAAGAAAAGACGTATCACAGGGCCTTAAATTGGTGTTATGTTGCATATGACTATACTTCCTAAAGTCCATTGTGAATTGGTATTTTTGATAAATCCCCTAGTTAGCATGTGAGTAGGTCAATTATACCGCATTGTACTTTTGGCGTTAAAAGCATGATTTTAAGAAATGTAAACATTTATAATATAGGAGAATCTGATCATCGTGTTTTGCATGTCTTCATCTGTTACTAGATTAAGATCCTGACATAACACAGTGGCCTAAACCCCTCTTTACTGGAAAAGGTTCTGCAGTGGAAAGAAATTCATTGATTATCGAATGTGATGTAATGTACAGTTTTACTGTGATAGTAAATCCATATTTAATAGTAACGATGATAGAAATTCACCTTTATTGATATTGTACTAAGTAAGCACTATATAAAGTACTTTTAAAAGCACTGCCTCATTGAATCCTTTCAACAAGCATATTATTTGTTTCATTTCACACATGAGAAAACAGAAGGGTAGGGAAGTTAAATCATGCCCAAGTGGGTGGCACAGTTAGTATTTGCATCTCACCCACTCCAAAGCCCATGCTCCTCCCAGAGCATGCCAGCGCATTGTCCAGATTCACGCCCAGGCTGCTTTCATTGGCTCTTTTGTTGTTATTTTTATTCAGTTTACTATTTCAAATTCATTGTATGCTATAAATACAGGATTCTAAAACCAACATTTTGTTCCTTGGGTTTATTTTTTGAGTGTCCTTAAAACTAACTAGCTCCCAGAGGGAAGGTAGGGAAGGGTGGGAGTAAGGGGGAGAGGTCAACCAAGGAATTTTATGCATGTTTATGAGTCTAACCAATGGACACAGACAACAGGGGGGTGAGGGCATGAGTGTGGAGTGTGGAGGGGGGTAATGGGGAAATAAGGACACATATGTAACATTTAACCAATAAAGAAAAGCAACAACAACAACAACAAAAAAATAAACTAGCTCTTTACTTATCCTTCCAGGTCTCTCTTTTCTTCTTATTTCCCTGGCATCGCATGGCTCCTCAACTCTCTGTCCAGTTAACAGTGAATACAGCTTTCTCTTTACTTACTCTACTTTTCTCTCTCAAATTCTTTCCCAAGCATCTTCCCAATCTGATTCCAGCTGCCTCTCCGGCACCTCCAGAAAGTCCGCCCCCCCCCCCCCCCCCCCCCCGCTTCACCCCCTCCCTCCCGTGCTTCTGGGTCTGGCTGTGTTGGGACCTCCAGGCATCTGCATCCCCACTTATCCTGACTACTGTGGTTACAGGGGCCTCTTCTGAATGCAGACAGCCAGTCAGCCAAGTCGAAATTTATACCAGAAATATATTACCTAATTTTTAAACAAAATGACATGAAATCAGACTTGAAGATATCAAAAACATGTCTAGTTTTTTTGATTTAAGCAAGAAAATCCACATTGTTACTGTTTCCACCACAGAATAATTTACTGCAACGGGAGTTCTGGATCTTATGCCAGAAATGAGGTCCTCTAACCAATGTCAAGGCCAATTATCTTGTGGTGGATCCCACAACAAAAGCAGACTATTGTGATTAGAGTCAGAAGCACCACCCAGAGAAGTTGGAAGGCTTCTGGGGACTTCTTGCGTTCAGTTTTTCTCTTCTCTCCCCATGCGTCTGCTCACATACGCTACCAGGAACTTTGTGTGTGGGCACCGAGCATCTTGGGTTAGCTGGGGAGACGAGGACAGGGGCGATGGGTGGGAGTGACCTGCTGCAGGTCTGGATGTGAGCTGTGTGCTTGTGACACCATGAGAATGACCAGTCAAGCCCCTTCGACAGGTCACAGCCTCCTCCCTCCCCTAACCTCCATCCCAAACAAGCTGCCGGTAGCCATGCTGCGGTTCCTTGGTGGGAAGGGCAAACCCATGTGGCTACGTTCAGGGACACTTACCCCACAGTGAAGAACTGCCTCATCTCCTGTCTCCGAGACCTCATCAGTTGCTTGTACTCCCCGATCCGGAGCTTTTTGCCATCAACAATGCAGGTGCGCTTCGGTCGAGGTTTGTACTTATAGTTGGGGTACTTCTCTAAGTGGATTTTGCTTAGCCGGGCCTGCTCTTCATAATATGGTTGCTTCTCTTGGTTGGACATGGATTTCCAGCGAGACCCTGGACATAAAAAAATAACCTTAAGTGCCCAAATGGTGAAGGCAACATATTCCTGGCAAATACAACTAGGCATACCTCCCACCTGTGTTCTGAGTGGCCCCCAGTACCACATACCCCCGAGCCTCACAGCTAGTAGGCTAGACTATAGAGCAAAGCATAACTTTCTGTGATACATTATATTATTTCCCTCAATAACTTAAAAGATGGTATTACAATAAGTGCATTGTTTTAAAACATGTTTTTGCTGCTTAAAGGTCATCTCCCTCACCAAAGTCTTCCCCCCTCCCATCTGCCCATCTCTCTCCAGAGGGTTAAACACCTAATCTGCCTCCTTTCAATGTGTCAGGGCTCTCAGGAAAAGCATTTCTGGTTCCAGAAGCTCTAACATCTCTCTCACTCCAAGCATCGTTAGCAAAGCTATCGTTTGATAAGATGTCCGCAGATAGGATATCCCTCAACAGACCCTAACGCTCTGTGCATGCTGCCTTCCCTGGCCTAGGGTAATTAAAAAGCCTCAACTCCACTTAAGAAGCAATAGCATTGCAGCTGGAAGGTACTACTGGGATTATGTACACCACTTTCAAGTACTATAAACGTCCATTCAGAGCTGTACCAATGAAAGTACAAAAATTTTTTAATATGGTTTATCCAGGAAGAAGCAAAAGTATTCACTCCTCTAATATTGTTTATAAAGAATTATCTAAACACTTGACGAAGAAGGGATGTGTTTTTTCACATGTATCAAATTGCATTTTTGTGTCTCGCTGGCAAATAAAGTGGTAGCAGCTGTGCTGACTGGATGTGAGCTATTCTTCGGTGGAGATTTTTCATACATAAACAAATGGAGAAGTTGTACAAATATTCCCTGTAGCCAGCAATATCCTGGTCTGCCTTAATGGCCCATCCATCCCTGCTTCTTCCTGATGCTTGCGAATGTTGGAACAGACATGCAGGTAGCTCCTCGGTGTCCCCCTGGCTCCCAGTGGCTTCGAGCCCCACTCACAGAGGATGCTTGGTGCTCTGGTGCTTAAAGGTTTACATTTTAATGAATACACTTACTATATTCTTAATACTTTTTTTTTTACAGAGAATGCACACCAATAATATGGATTCCCCACAGCTGCCAAAATGGAAACAGAGGGGTTCTGTGCCCATCTGGGAGCCTACTCATACTGCTGCTAAAATGGCAAAAAAAAAAATTTTTTTTCAAAGTTAAATATCAAACTTTAAGAACAGAGAAACCTTGGTTTTCTTCAGGATGTCTATTAATTAGGACAAACTTAATATATGCATTGGGAGAATGTTGGTTTGCAAGGTATTTAAATTAGAAGGAATAATACCTCTGTGCATATCTCTGAAACTCTAAAAATAAATGCAATTGTAATGACATTCACTATCCATTGCAAAATCCAAATGGAAAAAAAGGGGGTAAATTTGTATTTGAACATTTCACCACTATTTGATCTCATGTATGTTTTAAATTTTCTTAGAGGTCACTGCCTCAAAATGCCTCAGATTCAAGTTAAATTATTTATACAGTGACAAAACATGTGTATTTGTGTGTGTCCAGATCACTGATATTCACTCAGGTTAAATATTTATTGCTTTTGAACAAAACATTTAAAAAATGAAAACCACAGTTTAAGTCTCTAATGTTTTTCGGCTTCTTTGCCGGCTCCCTTTGAGATTTTGTCACATCCTGACAGCTTAAATAGAACAGTGCCTTCTGTGTTTTTTCTTTTTTAAAGAGGAAACATGTTGACTGTAATGCCGCGTGTTGAATAAAATATGTTCAATATGTTGAGCACAATAATTCCAAACTGTATAATCCGCACGAGGCAAGCTTTACACTAATAGAACAAGGCTTGAGTCTAATCCTGAGAAACGGGAGGATCACTCCGGCAATTTCACCGCAAAATGCGTCTCTGCCCTGTGGTCTAATGTGTGCAGCTCGCTGCTATGAAATTCGAACTAGTCACATCGTATTAAAGTAAATGTAGCTTTTATTTTACAACTTCTGAAGTTATCATTAGAGGCACTGCTCTGCACTCCATGAACTTCACACTATGCGGGGGCTCACCCCCACGTCTGCGATGCGTTCTTTTCAGAGGGGCATGTGAACAAGAAGACTGCAGCCGAAAACTGCAGGCTCTGAGCATGCTTCCAAGTTTCACAGCCATTTAGGAATTTAAGGAGACGAGTAAGAAGGGGAGATAAAGCTTGTCTCCGCGACTGCTGTGTAGCAGTGACCTCTCAGCGTTGCCAAATTCATAGTATTAACACATCCTAGAAATAGTTTTGTCTCTAAAAGAAGTTTTTAGTCAGTCTTGCCCTGGCACCTTGTGGGTGTCTGAACTCCCAAAGCTAAATGCCACAGTCTGGAGCAGGGGATGCAAAGGTGGTGACGAAGGCTCTCGTGGCAGCTTGCCGGGCTACATCTAACTTCTGCAAACCGGTCTCCCTTAGGTATCAGACGGTGGCCCTGCCTCCCACTCTTGGGACACTCATGGGGTAGAAGGTCAGCCTCGGCGGCTGCACTCACCTAAAATTTTGCTAATGTTGGAGTTATGCATGTCGGGGAAGGCCTGAAGAATTTTCCTCCTCTCGTCCTTCGCCCAAACCATGAATGCATTCATTGGTCGCTTGATGTGTGGCTCGCTGCTGGCCCGGCCACGGGCATCCCTGTAGACTCGTGCTTCAGCCACAGTGGCACCTCCTGTTGGCCAACAATAATACTGCTGTAGTTTAGCTGCAGAGCCATTCATTGCTTTACTTCCTGTAATGTCAGGGCAGGAAGAACAAGACGGGTGATAAGCATTATTATCTGGATCGGGTAGCACGCCTTGCCGCCTGGTTCAGCTGCCTTCCCTAGGCCCTTCTCTCCTTTTGAAGGGACCTCTTGGAAGCAGAAGGCAGTTTCAGATGACAATTCACAGGCCCTTCTGACACAGGCCTCAGAGACACACCGGGCAGCATGAATGGTGGGTTTTTATACATCTAGTACATTTTTAAAAACAATCCGCTGCAAGTGATGATGAAGTAATGACGGGCATTTTTTAGGCTAAACTTTCCTGATGACATTCCTCTCTTTGAGAGCAGACCCTTACCTATCCTTTTAGCCTCATTTGCCAGAAATTGAAGCCACTTCAAACTGCCTCTTTCCCTCCAGTAGGATCTCTTTCACGATAGTGGGCCTGGGCCAGTGGTGTTCTCAGAGCCTGGAAAGAAGCCCTTTCTCCCACTCTTCACAGTAAGTCCCACTCCGCCCTCAGGGCCTGTTCTAATGTGGTGTGTCTCATGAATTAATTAAGTCAATAAAAATAGTAATTGAGCCATTACTGTGAGTTGGGCTTTAGGCCAGGTGCTAGGGATACAAAGGTGAATAAAACAGCCTCTGCTTTTAAGTAGCTCACAGTTCAGGGGGGCGACAGAGCCCAAAAGACAATTGTCACGGAGTATAAGGTAAGTGCTTATAATACTGAAGTAAACAGGGTTCCGAGAGGGCACCGAACAGGACAGCCAGCTAGTGCCCTAGGAGAGGTCCTACCTAAGTTGAGACCTAGAGGATGAATGAGAATTAGTATGTGAGCTAAGACAGATGAAAAGGGACAGGAGCAGCATCTGTAATGATGCCTTCAGGCTGCATTCATTTTGTTGCCTTTATGCTATATGCTCCAAAGTTATTACTTGTCTGTGTGACTATCTTTCTCTAATTGTTCTACTCCATCCCCAGGAATATGAGGCCCCTAAAGCTGGTGTTTGTGTTTACTCCCTCTCGTATCCCAGGATTTCCCACATAGCATGTCTTTATTTAATGTAAAAGATTGTTTGGTCTTCAACGCATATGCAAAAATAGTAGGCTAAAGGCATGCATTCCAAGGGTCCTGGTATATTTTCCTGCTGTTTAAGAGTAGTTCTTTAACATCCCCTAAAAAACTGTGTCTAAATTTCTGATATCAGTTATAGTTTCTGAAAAGGTGAGTCTAGTAACACCCTAGATTGAATGCCCCCTGAGGATACGGCAGGAACCGGCCGGGGTTCCAGTAAAGCACTTGGCAATGTAGAGTTTCAATTAGTAATGTGTGTTAAATTAGTGAATGATTGAATAAATCAATGCAATGACTGAACAGAGCTCCCGCTTGCCTCCATGCACCAGCATGACACACTGATGCATGCTTCACAATGTGACAGTGACAAAGCATCTCCTCGTAGATTGAGGGCTTCGCTAGTTAAGTGTAGTGTTGGGTGGACAGACGGCGAGCCAGCACTTCTCCTGCATAAAGCAGAAAACCTACCCCCAAAAGCTTAGAAGCAAAAAATACATTAAAACCAACATTTTTACTTTCTGGACAAAGTAAATCCTTTCAGCTCGTGAACTGATTATACAGGAACAACAGGACTCAATCAATTCCTGGCCCATCTCCTCCATTTCCAGATACCTTGATTGTGTAGAAATTCGTTTGTGTCAGATATAGGAATAAATCAGAACAATAAAGTACACTATTATTTGGCAAATACGGCCACGGTTTGTTGCAAACAAAAGGACCGAATGGGTGATAGTGTAAATTCTTTTCCAAACATGAAGGCGGGCAGAGGGGCCACTTTCTGAGGACCCTGCAATCAAAACCATTTTATAAACAGGCCTTCTTTTAGGTCTACTAGACAGAATGATCCCTTACATGAAAAGACTCAGATCCCAAGATGCATAACTAATATGCTACCTTTTTGCCACCATACCCACAGTACATTAATTTCATTTAAAATGCACTGACCATACAGGATAAATTGATTTCACTTTATATGGGTTTGACAGCCATGTTTATTGTGCAGTGAAATGTAGTGTAGCTTCCAGCTGACAATATCCATCAACACAGGGCAATATGCTGACTGCTGGGCCAGATGAAGGCATACATTACTCTGGAAGTGAAACACTCATTCAGACACGACAGTGTCTTCTCCTGAGGATCACTACGGTAATTTATGATGCCCTCCGTGCCATTATTTTACAACTGACATGGATGTAGCAATTTATATACTTGCATGCGTACACATAAAAGAAGACAGGCTTGTGGAGAATGCCATATGCAAAGACATTTCAATATTATTCTAAGTTAGTTACTATGCCACAGGTGATTGACATTGGAGATTTGCTCTTATTGTCATAGCTTTCTCTCCACCTCTAACAAACCTAAAATAGCCAGCTTTTATTCATTTAAAAGATGTATTTTTATTGTGAACAGGATGTTTTAATCTCCTACAAGCTAATAGGGATCATGGTGGAATTTTAGATTCTGTTTCAGTAGATCTTCTATTCCAGATCAATTGATTCTCCCAGACACATCCCACATATGCCCTGTCTCTCCCCCTCAGTTCATTCCACACTCTTAGCATATCCTTTCCACTCTCTTCTCTCTTACTAACCTTTACGTTTTTCCAAGGAAGAGAGTTCAGGTTTTACCCCACCAACTGCTCTCCACTGACCTTGCCTCTTTCTCCCATAGTACATTTTGTCTCATGACACTGACACTGGGTTAATTACACAGCAGATCTCTAGGAGTCATAGGGGTGTTCTAGAAAATTAAGAAATCCAAGCATGGTACAGAGTATAAAATACAAATTAGGAAAGAGAAAATAGAAAATGCTCTGTGTCATAGCACTCCTCTCTTTTTTCTTGTCTCCTCTTCTCTCTTCCAAGGGGAGTAAATTGAAAAAATGAATGGGGACATCCCAAGGAAAACTAGGAATGTTGTGTTTATGAACCAAGATTTGGGAAGAAAAAGAGACTTACCCTGGGAGATAATTTTTAAACTGAAGATCTGTTCAGAATCAGAATTTTAAGGAAGTATTAAGAGGCCCCAAAATCAAAAGAATATTTAGAAAGTGTCCTTTAATTTCCCCAAACTTTGCTTTATGAAACAGAATGTTTAGAGAATAATTGTTGCAATAATATAAATACATATTAAAATCAGAACTTTAAAAATGGATTCTATGAAAGCCCTTTTAAACACATAAAGAAAATTCTATAGAACACTAAAAGATTGTTTTCAAAGGTATGCTATTAGTTTGAATATTTGAAGCCTAAAAAATCCATGTTCTGTTCTAATTAACTTTAAAATCTACATATCAAGTGTGACTTCAAATTGCTTCATTCATTTTTGAAAATAACATCAAGGTGTTTTTTTCTTTCTTCTTTTTTTTTTTTAAAGCCACTTTATCCTAAAATAGCCAATGCTCTGTGTCAGAATCCGGAATTGTCCTAGGGAATGTCTCACAATCTATAAGGCATCTTCTTTTACTTTTTGTAGCAGAGGAATCATTTATTCATGTTGTGTCTCCTCATGGAAAGCAGTTGGAAGAAGCTTAGAACCACAGCTATGTACCTGGACTACTGCTTTCAGCTGATCCAAGAGTCTTTAATTACCGACAAAAGCATTCCTAAATGACAGTTGCTAAAGGACCAGAGGTCATCAGAACCACATTAGGTACACTGGTCCTCTGTACTCCCAGCATTCCTGCTCTCTCCAACTTCGCCGAGGGGCTTGGATTGATTAATTCACCCTTCATCTCCCATATCACAGTTTGTGTAAAGGCAAACTTTCAGTGAGGTACAGAAAGATCGTGTATGGGGAGAAAATAGAAATTATAAAGGAAAAGACTTCTTTAGGAATCTGAGATTTAAATGATTTAAAGAGAAGACAGAAAGTTGAGTTTTTCCAGGTGGGTTGGAAAGAGAGCCAGTTTAACCATCATAGCCTTATGGCAATGGTCCTAAACTAATCCTAGAGAGGCCCCCTTCCTGGGTAAATTCCAAGAGTTATGTGAGTGAATGAGTAAGTGTTTGGTGTGTGCTTTTGTACACATAAAGTTCTCACTAAGGAGGAGCTTTAGCTAATTCTATAATGTTCCTGGTAATCATTTATGCGTGCATTAAATTCAGCAAACACTTCTGACACATTTTAGGTATACCCAGCATTGTGATCAGGTATTCAAAGAATAACAACACATGTGCCTTGCTTTTAAGAAATTTGGTCCAGTGAGGGAAACAGATACATAAAGAAAAAATTACAAAGCAGTGCAAGTACTAACAAAGGTAATTTTAATATACTTTAATATTTAGCAGATAAGATAAGCTATTAATGATATTGGAATGGACAGAGATGTATATCAGGAAGGCTTCAGAGAAGAGTTGGTGCTTGAAAACATCTTAATGGAAGAGTAAGACTTTACCAGCAGGTATGGGTATAAAAGCACTCCTGGCTGGAGAATCAGCACGAATGAAGGCACAGAGTTATAGTAAAAGCATAGTAGGTTATGAGGAATAAAAAGAAGCTGGCTACGGCTTGGGCTTATAGAGAAAACAGAAGAATATTAAGAGATGAAATTAGGAAAGTAAGCAGGGGCCAGATTGCTAAATACTCTTGAATGCCAAGCCAAGAATTGTTTAAGGTGATTAAGCAGACATGAATAAATATTTTCTAGAAGAGATCAAAATAAAAACTTAGTGAGAAATTACCACTGAATGGTCTCAATGATCACTAGTAAATTGGTAATAAGGAATAGAGAAAGACAAGGCGAATAAATACCTCACAAGCCCAATGCAACTTACACTTTGTCAGACAGAATGTGATCTATGCAAAATGTTGGCACAAAAGATTCTCTTCTGGAATCTAGTTCTGGTAATGGCAGAATAGCTTATGTCAGACTAACCCTCAAGCAGATAATAATTACAAACTCTGGAAAAAATATGAAAGAGCAACCATTCGAAGTCACTGGAGA